CCTCCAAAAGGCTATGATCCAACCTTTTTGCGGACCCCTGGAAGAGCAGCTATTTTACAGATCCAAAAAAACCCCAGACCAAGCTGTGTTTGAGTGAAGAGCCCAGTAATCAGACACAACCTGTTAAAATCAAGCTCACCTGTGACAGTTTCTAATGAATTAAAAAGGAAAATAAAGCCCAGGCAATGTAGTACTGCTACCTCTCCACTGATATTGATTTTAAAAAAAAGAAAAAACTGGATTTTAACTGGACTGCCTCAGCTGGATCTAACCTCCACAGGTTTTCCCATCTGTGTTTTTTTTTTTTAATACTCTAAATATCAAGGTGGAAAAGGGGAGAAAAATATCACTGAGCGTTCAGACACTGTTGCTAAAGCAGAGAGGGATTTTAGCATACTGGCATGTCTGGCTGTGTTTTTTTTTTTTTTTTTTTCCTGCATGTGATGCCTCTCCGCTGGCTGCTTTGGTGCTTCACTTGGTTGGCCTTGTTGTTTTTGCTGTGGTTTCTAGTCGCTAGCTAGCAGCTCCCTGTGGATATGTGATGCCGTGCCCCTGGCTGCAGTTCACACACTCACCCTGCCTCTCTTTTTCAGGCAGCGAGGGGGAAAGAGAAAGAGAGAGAGGGAGAGAGAGAGAGAGAGAGAGAGAGGATGTTTACCATGCTGTGGAGCTGCCTGCTTCCCAGCTTGTCTGCCTCAGCCCCAGCCTCAGACCAGAGACAGAGACATAGGGGGAGGGAGCACTGCATCTTTCTTTCCTTCCCTCCCTCCCTTTTTTTGCGCCAATTTTCCCTTCCTCCACTCTCGCTTTTATATTTCTTGTCTTCGCCTGCCCTCTAAAGGCCAAAGGGCTTTGCGCTCTGTATGTAAATGTGTGTGTGTGTGTGTGTGTGTGTGTGTGTGTGTGTGTTTGTGTGTAGCAGCCAGACTGCATCTGGCTGGTGCATCAGGCAGTGGCTTTTGCTCAGCATGTGAATTCCCTCCCTCTGCTGTAGCTTCAGAGCTTAGGTCTTAGTGGGGTATTTTCACATTCATGCACACACACACACTCTCTGTCTCTCTCTCTCTCACACACACACACACACAAAGGATGGTGTAATTACCCTATGCTCTCATGTAATCCCCCAGGTGTTGTATTTATCTCCACTGCAGCATATCTGACACCCAGCACCAATACCTGGATTCACTTCAGTCACAGTCCCTGCACCAAAACCATTCCCCAGGCTGTAGTCTCATAACACCGTGTGCGCGTGTATATATATGTATGTGTGTGTATTACATTATAAACAGCATGCAATGCTATTTTCATGTCTTGTGTTATGTTCAAATTTGCAATTTAGCACTGGATATGACCATTGACATCTGTGTTAAGTGCTGTTGAGCTATGTGGTTGCTTCATAATTCACTGATGGATAATAAGGGACAATTGATTCCCTTGTTTGGGGGGTGAAACATAAAAGTGAGAGCAAAGAGGGAAAGAAAGGTATCGGATAGCAAAAGGCATGAGTTGATGCTTAATGGAAAAAAAAAAAGGATAAAAAGTCAGGGAGGTGAATACGCAAACTGCAGAGAGTACACACCGACACACACGGTTCGCTTTCAGGCAGACAGATCTACAATCAAACACGCAGCCACACAGTCAGCCTTTGCAGGCTTTCAGGCAAGCCGAGCCCAGGGCCGTGCTGCAGGGGCCCTCTCCTCCCCACACCAGTGTCATCCCTCTGATTGGAGTCTGTCTGTCAGCTCAGGATGACATGACAACGGCGGGGGAACATCGGAAATCCGGGGCTTTTTGTTCTTACATTTCTTTATACCGCTGACGTGCAACACTGAGCTGTTTTTTTTGGGTTTTTTTTTTAAGACATGACAGAAAGTCGGATTGGGCTAAAAGCACCGGAGCAGATTGCTGTTATTGTATTTGGGGTAGAGTATTGTTTCAGGTAGTTTTACAGTCATTTCGGATTTTCGCGAGAGCAGAGTAAAAGGCAACTTTTTTCTGCGGGTCAGTGATTTTAAAACACCGCTGCAACAAGAATTTCTATTGTTTGACAACGCAGCTTTATCTGACTTGTAGCGTACGCGCCGCTTTGTCTGCTTGTTATTCCTATTCCTGTTTTATTTGTTTACATATCTGTGCCGTTGCTATTTTCCCACGAGTTTTGCCTTATTTTCGTATTTCATGCAGATATTTGAGCATTTGCAATTTGAATTTTGATTTTGCCCTTTCATGTTCATTTCTACGTTCTCTGTACTCAATGGCAGTTTAAATGTCCCCGCATTGTGCCGGCTAAAGAAAAGTACCGCCGCATTCATTTTTGATGAAAAGAGAAGTATTAAGTAGGAGTGGGAGAAGTAAACCTTGTCCTCCCTTTTTTTCCTTTTCTCCACTTCAGGTTGAAAACACTCCACAGAGTGCTTGAGTTCATGGCACAGACTTATAGGCCCCTTGCAGAGCTTTATCCAGCACCAGTTCTCTCAAAGGAAGGAACAGAACAGAAAAAAAAAAAACAACCTTAGACTTTGAAAGCCATCCCATCTTTTTTAGCGCTCGTCCAGAAGGGACAAGGATGAATCCATTTTTCTGCAGACGTAGTGTTGCTTGTGGCCATGTTTCTGTATGGAGTACTGTAGTAGAGGGTTTTTTTTTATATATATATAAAAGAAATCCACATTCTATTGGACCTGAAACTTTCTACAATGTGTCATGCCAGGGTTGGCTTCACACATTGCAGCCACTCCTCCTGGATGAGCCTAATAGTGAGGACAGCTTGTTATAGAAACCTGGTGATTATGACCTGCTGTGAACAACCTCTTTCTCTCTCACTCATCCGCCACACCGCTCCGTCTCCCCTTCTCCCTCCCCACTATCTTTCTCTTGTGGCCACTTTGATCAAATCTGTGCTCTTACGTCCTTGACTGCTGCCCCTGACGCCTGACCCCTGCATTTGAAATTTCCCCGCTTATGTAAAAGTTTATGTAGATTAATGCCACAATTTATGCAGATTGAGTTTTTGCCACTCAGACTTGAAGCACTAAAAGGTAGATGAGCGCTGACCTCCCCCGCTAACAGCTACGTGAGCTCTCACCGATTATCTCATAACTGCTACACACAGTGTTAGTTCTGCCGCAGACAGAGAGATGGAGAGCAATTTCAGAATTCATAACGTTGCATTTTTAAACTTTTTTTTTTTTTTATCACTGTCATTTAAAACAGGGCTGTCTTTTTTGTCAAGGCGGCATCTGGGAGACTCAGTAAGTGTGGTTTGTGTCATGATGCAATACACACACAGGATTGTCCCTCCTTTAAAACATCATGCTTCCTGCAGCCCCACAGTGTCTGTCAAACAGAAACAACTGCCAGCAGTGGTATCAAGCAGCTTTTCAGCTGTCTGTGTGTCATGCCGAGCCTCCACAGAGCCGTAAACTCGTTCACAAGTGGCAGCAGCATTGCCGAGGTTGAACAGTCAAGTGCCATCAAGAGCAGTTTGCCATAGAAATGGGTCTATCTGAAAGCAAACAAAGGGCTCACACTTGACTCGACCCGCTCCATGTAGGCTAAATGCACACGGGCCTGTCTGACACTGGAAAATGGCTTTCAGCCTGAACAGAGAAGCAGAAGAGTAGAGAGAGGAGACGGTAAATGTCACCATTATAACTTTGCTGGCTTTGTAAGAAAGGAGGGGAGAAAAAAAAAAATGTTACATTCAGCTGTGACTGTCATGTTCAGTTTGAATGTAGTGATGCAAGGCTGAAAGGCTGAAGCCAGGGTTACTGGAGTTGTTCTGACTGTAAAGAATTGCATTAAAACTACACGTCTAGACGGAGTGTTTGTAGCGCACTCATAAATAATTTGGATTAATGCATTAAGTTTGCTTTCACAAATCCTCCCCACAAACCTTTTTTCTCTGTAAAGCACAAACTTCTAAAGGCGCCATTTGCTGATGTCACAGTGGAGCGGCGTCGCGAGTTAGTCACCGCCAGTCGCTGATGAGAGAAATGAGCTCAATTACAGCGTTGCATCAAAAAAAAAGCAGGAAAGGCAGAGCCTCCCATCAGGTCACTAACCCACTGCACCTTTTACACAAACACAAAGTGACCCGCCAGTCACCGAGTTAAGACGAGGTGTCAGCTGAAGTTAGTGCTGAAGTGAGCTAAAAGCCCCGGCTGGCACCGAGGTCCAGTGGGAAAACAGCTGTTCATTTAAAACTCCCCACTTCACACAGTGTGTATGTGTGTGTGTGTGTGTGTGTGTGAAGGAGAGCTTTTTTTAGCGTGTATGCGTACTGTATAGCATATTGTTTGTGTGCGTGTGTACCATTTATATCTGTTGCTGTGTCCTGCCGTTGACCCGTGTCGTGTCTCTTCCGCCTTATTTGATAATGATGCAGCAGCCTAAGCTAGCTTGGCTGCATGTCAGTTTCGTCTGTTATGATGTTATCACTAATGCTTCAGCTGGCTGTTTACATTACACTCATTAACCTCCAAGTCTCAGGCCAATCTGCCACTTTACAATATTTAAAATCTCATCATTTACTCCTGCACTGTAGCCCGCACTGTAAATTTCAGGCGGATGGTACCTCATTTAACCCACATTTAAAGTTTAACACCTAATGTTCTCTCTGCTAATTTCCACTTAAGCACTCTGAGATGATGCCAAATGTAAATATGGCTCGGCTCTGATTGCTTTAAATCAGTTTTCCTTCTTCGCACAAAGTGTCAGGTCTTATCAGAAGCATGTTTGAGTTGACTTTTGCGAAAACAGATTCTTTGGCACAATTAAAATAAGACATCTCTGTCAGAAATAGCAAAACTATTGCAGATTGAATCCTCCTGCTGCAGTATTTTGATCCTTTTTTAAAGTGCAATAACGTGATTGTGAAATTGCAAGCTCTTGTGTGCTTCATGTGCTGCACCCGCAAACATGTAGCAGCTTTCATTTGTCTGTTATAAATGAGAGCGAAGGTTGTGTGATCTGATCCTGCGTACCTCTGTCTCCACCAGGCTCCGTTCTCCTCCGGCAGACTGATAACGACGGTCGGTTTCCGCTGGATCTGGTCTCGGCATCGAGTCAGAGGGAGGAGCTCCTGCACAGCGCGCAGGTCGGAGACTCCACCCGGAAAAACAAAGCGACTGAGGTTTTGAATCTTCCCCTTCTGGAGGCCGGATCCTCTCTGCTGGCCCACCTCATTTTCTCCTACCAGCAGGAGAGGGGCTTGCCTGGTCACACGCAACCCAGCGACAAGCCCCGCAGCCTGGTCTACAAGATGGTCAGGGCCCTCGAGACGCACTCCTTCCAAAAAGTGACTTTGGGCTGGACGGACCAGCGGGCAGCGAGGATGGTGGAAGACGTGGAGACACTGTTGGAGCTCAGCCAAGGGAAGTACCAGGAGCAGGTGTCACAAGCTGTCAAAGAGTGTAAAGGAGAGAACACACTGTTCCTGATGGAAATACTGGAGGATCTGAGGTCTCGAGGAGAAGCACTAGTAGCTTGTGATGACACATTCAGATAAAGACTTGAATGCACGACCTATGTTTGAATGTAAACAGAATGGAAACTGCATGATTGTTGTATGGTCACATAGAGTTCACTAAGGCCTTAAAATATCCACGCAGGCAACAAAACACCTTCTGGCCCTCTGTGGATGTAGAATCATATAGAAGTTAGCTGTATGTTCATTTCTAAAAAGATACCGTTTTATGCTCATACCGAAAGGGTTCAGTCATATTCTGTCACCTTATTCTGGTTTGACATGTTTTGCACTTGGCAAATGTTTCTGAAATGGAAAAGTATGTTTATGTTTATTGGTTGCATGTTTTTTTATGGTTACATTTCACTGTAGACTGTTACTACCTCACACTTGACTTTTCTATAACTAGTTCAAGTTTAAAGATACTTTTTTTTTTTCATTTTTTTATGACTACTATTTATGACAAAATAAACGAAAACACATTAGTTACCTCTTGCACTCCCTGCTATGGTTTCAAGCAATTCTGACAGCATTAACTCCACAGTCATCTAGTGTTTTATTAAAAAAAAAAAAGAGAAGTCAGCAGAAAATGGCCACGGCAGTGTAACGCTGAACGTTGCTCTGACAGATGGGGTGCCTTTATGTGGTGGCCACGGAGAAAAAGAAACCAGTTCTCCGGTAATCCCGGTCTGAAATGGTGATGTGCACTCTGGGTCTCGGCAACAGTGAAGAATGAGCCACTTCACGAAGCTGAACACGAACGGAGAGCGGGGCTTAGGCCGACGTGTTGGCGTGGGACGAGTGGGTAGCGGAGCAAAGGACGCGAGCAGAGAGAGCTCTGAACCTGAAACGGAGGCGTCTAAGACTGAAACGAATTGCCTTAAATTACATTTATGTGTCGCTACCAGTGTTGCCTTAAATACGATGCAGAAAAAACATTATCCAGACATTCTGAAGATGATAAAAAATATTTAATCTTGTTGTTTTTTTTTTCAAAATAAGTAACATACATCAGATGCATTTCATTATTCAAATCCGAGATATACATCATGTTTTCTTTTGCCCCTCCTGACCCAAAGCCAGTCTCATCTCCTACAGCGGTCCTGTCCGGAAATGTCATAGGTCAGAACTGGGCACATGAAGGTGATGTCACAGGCAGGCAACATTGCAGGCGGAAAAGACAGATCTTAGAAAATGAGGCAGGCATACACCTACTTTACAATATCATCACCAGACCATCAACAGGCATACTGTATAAAATACAACCATAAATGAATAAGTACTTAGCTATGTACAGTATCATTTAAAAAATAAATAGTCTCATTTCAACTTGGTGCAAATAAAAGTGCTTTTCTTTTCCCCCTTTACAACTTGTCATTCTGATACATTCCTTTTATATAAGTTATTTTCTCGACGTCATACAAAATAAAAACACTTTGGTTTGCTTTAAAACAGCCAAAACCAAATAAATGACAAAGAAGAGAGACAGTATTTGGATGCAGTACCACACAATAGTCACCACAATTTGCTGTAAAATGACTACATATAGTAGTAGACACATACATATCAGGTATTCAAGCAGTCCCTTCTGGCATTATAAAAAGCCATCGCTCACGAGTCACAGAGTGTGTTCGTTGAGGAGGCTATAATCAGTTTGCGACGCTGCTCTTGGGGACAGTCTGTTATTGTCTTTCAAGTGGATTCCTCAAAACACAACAAAGCTAAATCAGCGGCCCTCTGGAGTGACAGATCCGAGCCTGTTGATATTTAAGCATGGAGATGGATGGGCAGGGAGGGGAGGGAGGGAGAGGATAGAGGTGATGGTGAGCGGACAGACGAGGCGAGAGGATGACAAAAAAAAAAAATGGCAGAAGAGCGCTCTGGTTGCAATGGCGAGGGGGTTTAGAGTGATAAAGACAGACAGACAAAGGGAGGGAGGGGGGGGAAAGGGAACCAAAAGGAGTAGAGGGCAGAGGGTGGTGGAGGCAGGGATCAATACGATGAGAGGAGACCTCCTCAAATGTAGCCTGTGCTGTGATCTTTCAAGAGATGCTCAGCGAGAAGCCCAGGAGACCGTCCCTTCAGACAGGGTCGCAACCCCGCTCACTGACGAATGAGGGAACCGCAGAGAGAGCAAACGGAGGGAAGCATGATGGGAAGAAGGATCTGAAATAGCATAAAACGCGCACACACACATTCATTCCTCCGTCCCTGACATCTCAGGCCTGAGTCCCCTCGGAGCCTTGTCTTGTCACACAATGACTTGCTGCTCATCTAGCATCTCAGCAAACTCTACACCAAATAACAGCTGGCACTTCTGCTGCACCGCACACACACGGAGACGCACACACACACACACACGCACACCGACTGAATCTCGGCATCAGTCTACAGCTGGAGGGAAGAAACAACTGTAACACACACCGACGCTGAGAAAAGCAACATGTCTTTGATTGCATAAACGCGTATACGCAAACACTCTTACACAGTTCACATATACGAGCCTCTGTCTCTGGAAAGACTGATCAAAGTTGAGCTGTGGGCACAGGAGGTGGGGCAGATGGAGAGGGCGGCCAGCCTGGGGCACAGCATCACAGAGAGCATGTTTGTGTTTGTGTGTCAGTTTTATGTGTGAGTGTGCCTGAGAGGGAGAGAATGTTCCTGCTCAAATACAATGTTAGGTTTTCATCTGCGAGCAAGTAGGTACAGTATGTGTATGCGAGATCTCTTGTGTTCACGTGAGAAGATGGGGATTTTTTGTGTGTGTGTGTGTGTCTGCATACATGCACATGCAGAAAAGTGTGTGTGTGTGTGTGTGTGTGTGTGTGTGTGTGGCCGCCAAGGCAAACACACACACAGGGAGATGAGAGGAAAGGAGACCAGCCTTTCAAACAAGATTAGGGCTGTGGCTGCCTAAAGGCCTGCCTGCCTGACGACACTCTGCATAGACTGGGTGACATCTATATTAACACCACGACAGCAGGCCCAGTCTGCTGCGCCTCCTGACAGAGAGAGGAGGTGTCTCCTTGACTGACTGGGGATTTTGACATGATTTTTAAGAGGTTAAACAAGACTACGGCTAAATTATCTGCTCATTTAGGAGGGAAAAAAGGTTTGGGGTGTAGCAGCCAATGTCTAATCCTCAACAGTGTTCATCTTTTTTTTTTCTTCTTCCTATGGGTACTATTTATTGAAAGTGATGTAATTACAATCTATTTTTAAGAACCCACTGTTCTTTAAGCTGATACTACTGTGGCTTGATTTTTTTTTTCTCTCTCTCGCTCTTTTGATTTGGAAAAAAACAGCAAATTTGGCCATTGTAATAAAGCACAGACAGATACCAACACAAGCCTTCAGCCTGTTGGTCCAGATTTGTGTTTGTGTAGAAGGACATATCTGGAGGCTACCACCATAATTGCTAATCAACTTGGCTGGCTGAGTTAAGTGGAGACAATCCAAATTACTGCCAGTGAACATAACATCATTACCACATCCAAGATTGGAAGAAAACAAAAGATACTTCAGTACAAAATCAATTAGAAAATATAAACATATTACCAAAATCATTTAATAACAACAACATGAGCTAAAAAAAAAAAATCTATTGCAGAGAGATAATGCAGAATGTTAGCATAAGGCCTGTATTTTTGATTAACATGGATGCACCCAAACATGTCTTTTTTGGAACAGTGAGAATAAATGTTCAACTCATTTTACTTATTGTGTGACACTTGTGGCAAGCAACTAGACAAGAGTCCTCGGAGCTGTCAGAGGGATGGAGACAAGAAACGAGGAGAGCGGCTCGCGCTGCTGATATAAAGGTCATTCCATCCATCCTTCCCGCTCGCCTTTAAAATCAAAAGCATAATGGTTATGATATTAAATCAAGAGGCTTCTTGTATTTGTTTCATACAAAAAAATTATGACACTTCAGGAAACCGTACTGTACATCGTAAGTAATTAAAGACAGAAAAGAAGTTTAAGAGAATGAAATACGAAATAAAAAAAATGGAAGGATAGCCGAGCCGATCTGCTCCAGAGCCGTCCTCCTCTGCTCCTCAGTGTCCAGTAATAGACCAAGAGAAGAAAAGTGGAGAAGAGAGGAGTTGGTGGGCGGACACAGTCATCTACCCGGGGTTGTTTTTCTTCCTTTTATTTGGACTGGGATTGGGATCCAGTTTCAGCTCTCGGTACTGCACCTGTTAAAACACACAGAAACACGCACGCACACACACCACCCGGTCAGGTGGAAAGAGCAAAGGATGCTTGAATAGCACAGAGACCCTCCAGAGGCTCCAGTCCAGCTGTGTGGAACAGTGGCCTCGGGGAAGGGATTACACACTGATTACAGCACACACATACACACAGATGCAGGCACCACTCACATGCGCACACACACACACACACACACACAAACACAACACAGACGTACACTGTTCAAAGCTCCAAATGCGCTCGTGCTCACTCAGAGACGCACACAAATATACGGCGTACACGCATACTTCCACAGATGTGCAACAGTGGCCTAAGGGAAGGGATCACACAAACAAACAAAGAACAGGGCAAGGGCTCATGGGAAAGCTTGGAGAGACAACAGTCATCTCAGCGTAGCAAGATGGCGAGGAGAGAAAGGGCAGAAAGATGGGGAGGAGACAGAAGGTAGAAAAAATATGCACCGTAACCCTTTCAGAGCCAAAGTTACAGTTACGACAGTATCAACACATTACTAATTACATCAATAGAGTTCATACGAGTAATCATTGACTTCTCACTCATGTGCTGGTAAATAAAGAGTCGGTTTTGAAATCAGGGTGCATAAAATTATTCTCCATAAAAGACTAAAAGGTGGCGTATGTGATTCTAACCAAACGCATCCTGATGGTCTATTAGCTGTTTGTTTTGTTTGCTGAAAGAAAAACCTGGTGGTCAGCTCTTTTAGCTGAAGTTCAGGAGAAGGACCACAACTCAAATACTAACCTTCCTGCCATATGTCCGTTAATGCCAACCTGCCCTGCACACCTGCCCTCACTCCCAAGCCTAAGACCGTCATTATCATAAAGTTAGAAGTCAACAGTGCAGCTCCAGCACATCCTCCTTACAAATGACATCATCCAAGACAGTAGCCAAGTCTCCTGACAGATCCCACCAAGCACCATCAGAAGCACTGAAGAACCACTAGCCAGCCACATTCTCCACCATCTTATACTCCAGTTAGTCATATCTATTCCACAGAATCCCCCCCCTCCATTTATCTCTAAGAAGACTCCAATCTGTGTAGCCTTTCCCTCCTAATTGCCTTTAAAGTTCTCTTGAGGAACACCCATAGAAGTCATCTCCTCAAAAATAAGTCTCCTCTCCTCTGACAAGTCTGTATTCCAAGTCGTCACTCCATCCATGCTCCAGTCAGGCCTCCTGACAACAACCGTATTGAATCCGCAGTCAGAATCTCAGAAAACACTGCAGTTGTTTTGCAGAGAGCCCTAAAAAAAAGGCTAAGCAGTGATTTCAACTCTTTAAAACGTCCACAAGTTCACAAAGTGCAACCATAAACCAAACTTATCCTTCCTCAAGTACAGGTCGCAATAGTGTCACTGACCTTGACATCAAATGTGTCCCTCCATTAAAAGCCCAAATGGGACCGGGTTGCCCATTCTACACAATCTTAGCCTGCAAAACAATTGTTTCTTGCACTGAGATTGTCTGTTTTATTCATCCTTGTCTCCTGATTTGAACAATCTTCTATTCAAACTTCTGGTAGCAGCGGGAAAAACAAATAAATAAAAATAGAATGACTTACTTCCCGACACACAATTAATTTGATTTCATTTAACCAAAAATAAGTTTTCCGATATGTTCATTAAATAGTGTTAGTAAATAGTAAATAGTGTTAAGTAGCTACTATGACAAATGGAAAAGCAAAAGAGTTCATCTGTGGGAGGATATAAATGTTAACATTCGAGATATTGCACCACTAAATTCTGACCTCTATCCCTGACTTCAGCGATCTTCTGCTCTTCTTTCTGGCACTGGGATGCCAGTTTCTCTCACTGACATGATCAGGACTATTTCTTGCTTGGAGGCGGTTACCTCCTGGAGTTTTGTTGTCACTGTGAGTTTGCCAGGCAATGAGCAGAAATTTCAGGAGGTAAGTGCACTCAGCCAAAAAATAAAAAATAAAAAATCCAGTACGTAACCCATGTAAAATCACAGTTTATCATTTTTATATTTCGTTCTTTTTTTCTTGAAAATTAAATAAATATATAATGTTTTAATGTGTGCATTTTGGAGGTGCTGGTAGGTGGGTTTTGTTACCTTTGGCTTAACCTGTGTGAGCTGCTTC